TTGCTTAACCAACCGAATTCGTCCTGTTGATCACCATGTTTCTGTCTGTCTTTAGTGAACAATTCAAGTTAGCTACCTAGGCCGTTCAAATTCCCTGATTCATTGGAGTTAAACGCAGTTAATGTGGAGTGGCAAGTGAAAGCCCCACACGAGTATTAATCCACAAGACACATTCATCATAGCTCCTGTTTGCTAAAATCGCCCTTGGAGAAACAGATACGAAAGAATGCATGATTAAGAATCATATTTGGTTCAGTTCGAGGGGTGGTCGCGAGAGGCCGATTTTTTCAGTAGTAAATTATTTGAGTTTAGTAAATTATTTGCGTGTTGCCTAACTGAGTCCAGTACTGCCCAGGTCCCGATGAACTAATACGGTCCCATCATCCAATAAAACACCTTTTTAATTAATGAGTATTACGTCATCAGCCGAAAGTCTCAAAAAGCAAACCAAGTCCATGAATTCAGGCCATCCTAGCCCCCAGCAGGGAAGTCAGGAAAATCGTGGCCCCCAGCATACTCTTAGAACTCGCTGAGTGTGCGTAAATACTTACGCACTGCTTTATTGTCTGTGATTGGTAGATTTGGCTTGAAAGGCCGTCAACGATTGGCTGATGAACTTACGAACTCTTAACCCTTATAAGGCCCCTTTCACATAGGGCGGCAATTGCCGCAAGCGTGCGACGGTATTTACCTCCGAACCTCACAGGACATACAAAATGTGAACTGCTGTTCACACGCGACGGATTTTAGAATTTGATGCCTGATGTCCGCGTGTGCAGATACTGCTAAAACTGCGGCGAAGGATTTGCCGTAACAGTTTAGCTTGCTATGGTATTCAATGTAATCTTTCACACTAGGCGGGTTTTTACGCCATTAGCTGGTATGGTACAGAGAGTGGGAATGCATTTAATGTGCATAATAAACAGCACTATCACATTAACTATCTATCATTATCATTAACTATCTGACCATCAGTCAGCAACAGCACAATCAGCAATGACTGATAGATTAGCGACAAATATTGTTACATAATCGTTAAGATATATATTGATTAATCTATATTTCCATCAAGTGATAGAAATATATTTTATATTAGATATATTTTCCATAAAAAATATATTTCCAAATAGATATATGATACATTTCCATCATTTCCACATAAAGATACATTTTCATAAAGATATATTGTTACAAAAACTTGAATAATATTACATAAAAATTGTCTGTTGGTGCATGAAACAGCACTACGACTGATAGATTCCAGCGTTAAAAACCGCCTAGTCTCAGTGCCCGTCATGATGTGATAGTGTGAGGTATGTAGTGCGTGAGCTCCGCGTTCAAATCGAAAACAACCACGGATACTCAATATTCCAATGAATTTGGAAATGTTACTTTGTGGGAATTACTGCCCAATAGCATCAAGTATTTATATTCGCGCATTTATTCGGTTATTATAAATGTACGAATTAGTATGTTTTCGGACGTAGCAGCCCCCGCCCACGCTGCAGCACTGCCGTAACCGGCGCCGGTAGTTTCCTCAGCTTTGATTGCTTAAAGATTTTGTATTTTTCATTATTACAAAGGTTATTTTAAAAAGGTCCTTTTCGCCCTGTTTTCGTCGGGGGTGAACGGAGGATAAAGGTTTCTAATGGTTTCTAATGGTCTTTTAATTGTTTCTAATGGTATTGTTACGGCAGGATGCTGCAGTTGCTGCCCCTGTGCACGCTGGTGAGGCTCTACAGATACACGACGGGGGCAGCAGTTGTGGTCGCTTCGGCTCTGGCGGGCCAACGGAAATCATTGGAAATAACGGAACAAATGGGGTCAATGTGAAATAATGGAACTAATCATAATATTTGTACACCTGAGCCGCAAAAAACCATGGAGGAAGCGGAAACAAAATTTGCAGCGGTAGAAGAAATCGAACCCGCGAACTGGTAAAAAGGCGGGTAAATTTCGGGCATCCTGCGGGATTTGAGCCCGAGGAGCTCCAAAACTTGGGAATTGTGAAATACCGCCAAGAATTGCGCGGAATCCTGCCTATGGATAGCGTGAGACTCCAGGATCTGATAGAGGGGAGTCCTTTGACTAGGTATTTTGCTGAGGGTCACATGACTGAATGCTGGTTGCTGGACAGACTTGCGAGCATTTCCCCTGAATCTTGAATAGCTTTTACCCTGGAAGCTATTCAAGCTTTCAGGGTAATAGCTTCCACTCTGTACTATGAATAGCTTCCACTCTGTAATTTGAAAAACTCTTGTCCTGAATTTTGAATAACTTTTACTGTGAATCTTGGGTAAAGTTTATCTTGAATTACAATCTTGAATTTCAGCTACCCTTATTCATGGATTATTGTAAAGTAGTTACCCTGATTCTTAAATAGTTTTACCCTGAGTTGAAATAGTACGAGTATTTACCGCGATTCGAATAGCCTGACTTCTTTTTTTCCACGGCTTGAAATAGTTTTAATACGATTCTTGAACAATTAACATCCTGATTAAAAGTAAAATTTACTCAGATTCGAAATATTTCAAGTATTTGTACCGATTCTTGAATAGTTAAGAAGGGTGGGTGGATAGCTAGAGGTCAGCATAGCCCAAGTCCACAGTGCGATTCATATACCTTCCCGAGCGTAACGCAGCCGGGCATCTTCACAGCTTTTGACACAAAGCGCCCACCACAACAGCGCAGTTCAGTCACAGGCCGGAGCGCATACAGGCCGGAGCACAACTGGCCGGGGCGTTTTTAGGTACGGACGATATTTTATTGAGATTTGTGCTGGACAATTGTTCTCTATTAAGATTTATTCCAGGCTTACATGATATTTAATTAAGATTTATTCCAGGCATATACAATATTTTATAGGATTTTTCAGTCATGTATTATATTTCATTGAAATTTGTTATAGGCAATTACTTTATTTTCTTAGGATTGGTGCCAGGCTTACATGAAAGTTTATTGAGATTTTTTTCCAGGCATACACCAAATTTTATTGAGATTTTTTTCCAAGCATGTACAATATTTTATTGAAATTTTTTCCAGGCATATAACATATTTTTTTTAGATTTTTTCCAGGCATATACCATATCTTACTGAGATTTTCTCGAGGCATATACCATATTTTATTGAAATTTTCTCGAGGCATACATCATATTTTATTGCGATTTTCTTCAGGCATATACCACATTTGATTGAGATTTCGTCCAGGAATTTACCATTTTTATTGAGATTTTTTCCAGGCATATACCACATTTATTGAAATTTTCTTCAGGCATATAAAATATTTTATTGAGATTTTCTGGAGGCATATACCATATTTTATTGAAATTTTCTCGAGCCATACGCATATTTTACTACAATTTTCTTCATGCAAATACCATATTTTATTGAGATTTTCTCCTAGTATATACCATATTTTATTGAGATTTTATCCAGGCATATACAATATTTTATTGAGATTTTTTTCCAGTCATATGTGATATTTTATTCGAATATGTTAGGTATATGTTTTGTTTAGCGAGGTTATAGGCATATACGATATTTAAATATAAGAAAACATAAAATGCTTATGATTTTATGAAAAAACTTTTTACCTTGCAAACATTTTTTACCCTTTTTAGCGCATTTTCTCATTTACGGAAAAAATGCCCTATTGTGCTCGTCATGTCCGTCCATCTGTACGTGACTTCACGTTCTCGTTGATTGTGAGAAAATGCGCTTTCTGTCACTCACTGCAGTGAGTACTGAGCTATATTTTTTTATCAACATTGTTTTCATAGTACTGGGTAGAAATTCAGCTGAATTCTGGATCCCAAGTAGCGGAGTAGAGTTTGTCAAGTTTGCAAGAACTTGAACTGGTTGTCCTGATCCATCAAAGTTGACACCTTGTCCAGTAGAGTTGCCTAGGTGTCAAAGTTGACACAAGGTGTCAAAGTTGACACCTTGTCCAGGAGAGTTATGCCCCATGCCATGCCCAATTTCTCCAAGAATTCCATGGAAGTTATTGTTGCTTCTTTTCTGACTTGGTGCTTGATATTCTCTATCAGTGTTAGCTTTAGCCTTTCTTTTTTCGGCTAGAGAGGCTATTGGCAAAGGGTAATTATCTATCTGAGGCATCTCTTCCCTCTTGGGGTCCTCTGAAAAGGACAAGTTAGGAAAAGGCCACTCATCCTCAGATTCAGAGGCCCCATCAGAGGTTATCATTGCTCTTGATTTTTTCTTTCCTTTCATTTTGCAGGCTACAAATCCATTCCCTGGAGTATTAATATATACATTATTAATATATACATTGATGTATCCAATAAAGCTAAATAATGAAATTAAGTCAAAAGAAACAAAGTAATAATCCTACAAAATACCAAAGAATAAAATACGATATCCTTCCCTACCCTCTTCCTATTATTCCCCTCCTACTCAAGTATCAGTACTGCAAAAGAATTAAATATTGGAATTTTCAAAAACCTACTGGTAAGTTGGCAACTATCTTCAGAAAGGTTAACCACCGATTTGCAAAATGAAACAGCTCCTCTTACCAACGTTCGTAGTCAGACCCGATGTGCACTACTACTACGAGCAACAAATGAATGTGAGGCTAATTGAACGGATAAATCTAAGGCCCACGGCTGCGCATCCGGTTTCGGCCCCGCCATCGTATTCATGTCACCACTTCATTTTCAGGATCAAGCGGATATTTCAGAATCATGAACAAATTCAGACTAAGTTGCATGGGCTTGGAAGAGTCTTTTTAATGGAGAATAATTACACCAGTCATCCATGGCACATGACTGCGAAGTTGTTGAACAAATGTCAACAAATATCGGTAGAAAAAGAGTATCCAGGGTAGACTTGTACTCTGCAGGCTATTGGTGGAACATAAGAAGGGCGTGCTACCACTGCTTCGGTGAGGTGGCAGCATATTACCACGTAAGTGTTTGCATGGCACCTACCCACGTATGGACAAATTTTTTAGCCTCCGTCTATAATTGTCAATAAAACATCACTTCTGCACCAATAATATTTATTTAACTAAGCGGGTTCTCATCTTCCTTCAGTTCCTGATTAGAAACTGTAATGGGCTTGGCATGCAGGGTTCCATTGGGTGTAGATCGTGATGAACCGCTGCAGAGAACCGCTCTTGAACGACAGCAGTGAACCGCTTAAACACCAGTAACCACTTTTTTAATCTGTAAAAGAAACAAAAATTTAACAACACACATGCATACTATTACCTGCCTGAGACATCGAAACGGTACAACAAATGAGTACATTTGTAATCAGGTACTATGACATTGGAAGACCATGAACACAGATATTCGTGATGGAAAAATACGGAAACAACTATAAGGTGTTCACAGGAATCGCATAATCATCAGGACAACTTGGTTACTTCTTGGGTTTGAAAGTTTTGAACGTGTTGTAGGAAGGAATGTTTGTTAACATGTGTTGTCAGGAGGACTGGACGTTAACATGTGTTGTCAGGAGGCCTGGACGTTAATATGTGTTGTCAGGAGGACTGGACGTTAACAAGTGTTGTCAGGAGGACTGGACGTTAACATGTGTCATGTGTTGTCAGGAGGACTGGACGTTAACATGTGTTGTCAGGAGGACTTAACGTTAACATGTGTTGTCAGGAGGACTGGACGTTAACATGTGTTATCAGATAGGCTATCTGCAAACCTATATTGTCGGAAATAAGGTAGGGGGGAAATAATTTATAACAGTAGAGTGACAATAGGCACATCACTAAATCTGCTGTTCGTCAGTAAGAAGAAACCTCGATTTAGCTACCAACAAGACCTAATGAATGCGCTCTCCACAGAAAACTACCCTTGATCAACCTGTCCCAGATCTACCTCTTTACCTAACTGCATTGTATATTTCATTCCTTACTGTTACTTGATTAAAGAGCAATTAAACTGACAAGCCCTGTGGACTCATTGAACTTACCCAGACTTCTGCCAGAATAACGCCTAAGCTAGCATCCATCACATAGACATATGTTGACAGCGAAGATGCCAGGTTGGTGAGTGTGATGTTGCCAGCAGATATTGGCGCCGTGAAAGTGTTGCCGACACCGAACGCTTTCTTGATTGCCAGAGTGGTACCGGGTAGGACGCCACAGACGTCGTAAGCTGTCAAGTTAGTAGGCCAGTGGAAGACGACATCCGTCCCATTCACTTCGTAGGAGTACAGGCTTTCATCATCAAGGCCGTTGAGAGGTACTGTGAAAGAATGACATCCTCTATGAGAGGGTAGTAGAGCGAGTCTGTTGAAGGAATTATATGAAGTGTATGAATTATATGAATTAAATGAATTAAATAAATTAGATGAATTATATGAATTATACGAATTATATGAATTATAACTAAGTTGCAGGTTTGATACCCAGGCCGCTAGCACCACTTTGTGGAAAATGATGCCCGAATACGGGCCAAATATTGTACGCAATGTGGCATATGTTTGCATATACTGTATCTTCTGCCCAACACTGTAACTAAAACAATTCGTACCTAATATTGTACCTGAAATGTTTGGTATTATACTAGTCTATGGATGTGAAGTATAGTGATACCCAGAATTCAATTTTTCAGCCTTCCAATTTTACTTAGGTTATCATAACAGAATTATAATTAATGATGAATGTTGTTTAGTTGGACCAATGCTAATGCTCTAATTTTGGGTTCTTACAACTGAAATCGAAAAAATTGTAATCCGTGTAATTTACACCGCCCGTCGTCTGGAAGTACGTTATTTTGAGCCCGAAAGTCAGGCAAATATCAGGCACGTCCGCCGTTCCAATCTCGATGATGCCTTTTGGTTCAGATATGGGGAAGTCAAGCTCCGGATTAGGGCGAGATATGTCCATGTACCAGATGCCAATCTCAATGGTGAACTTGGTGAAGCTACCGCAGCCAGGGGAAGCCTGTAGGTTAGGTTGATGAGTTAGAGAAGGGGATGGAAATAAGTTGGTGTGGACAGTGGGTGTGGACAGTGGGTGTGGACAGTGGGTGTGGACAGTGGGTATGGACAGTGGGTGTGGACAGTGAGTGTGGACAGTGGGTGTGGACAGTGGGTGTGGACAGTGGGTGTGGA